ATCTTCTTTACTGTGGCCCCTGCTGCTATTCTTGCTGACTTCAAACTTCAAGTCATGTACACCGACACCTGGCCTCTGAGTTCTTGACCTAATTTCACACAAACTTTTCCTGCACCTCACCACAGTTACCAACTCACACAGTCACGGCCCAGATACATCATTTTACCAGCATCCCTATTTCTCCCAAACCTCAATTCTAATCATCCCAAATCTCCTGTCCCTGAGTTCATTTACTCTACTACCCATATAGTTGGCGAGGAAATGGGGACCTCACTCCTACAACCGCAGGAAACAGCCAAAAATCGACGAGGTTGAAAGAAGACCCCAAGGCTTCAGATGAAACCACAGCCCTGGCTGACACCTCGATTTCAGCCTTGTGAGACTGAGCAGAGAACCCAGCTACTCCAGTCCTGGACTCCTGACCCACAAAACTGTGAGATGATAAGATTGTGGTTTTTTTTTTTTTAAGATTGTGTTATTTTAAGCCAAAAAGTTTATACTAATTTGCTGAGCAGCAATAGAAAAGTAATATACCTTCTTAGAAAAATTAAGAAATCTTCCTCAAGAACCACTCTTCTAAGAAACCAGGGGAAGAGAAAACTGTAAATACATATAATCAAGTAATTTTGTCCCTGTAAAAAAGTTGGTGTTTATAATAGCACTTAGTTCTAGGCATCATCCCAGATACTTTATATTTCATTTAATCTTTACATTCACACTAAGGGTCTGATATTATTATTATTACTTCCATTTTATAGATAAATTACTGAAGGTCCTGCTTGACATCACAGAGCTAGAAAGCAGCAGAGTTGGGAGTCAACCAAGGCTTGATCTTGTTTCCAAAGCCCATGCTCTGGACCACCATACTCTACTATTTCTCTATGCAAGGTGTTACAGCATTTACTCCTCTGTAACAAAGTGGAGAACATTTTATTAACTTTACAGATAGTATCAAAGGTTCACTTAGGAAAAGACCTGCCTTTCAAAAAACATTGTCTTGGGGCCAGCCCCATGGAGTAGTGGTTAAGTTCAACACGCTCTCCTTCAGCAGCCCAGATTCGTGGGTTCGGATCCTGGGCATGGATCTACACTATTCATCAGCCATGCTGTGGCAGTGACCCACATACAAAACAGAGGAAGACTGGCAGAGATGTTAGCTCAGAGTTAATCTTCCTCAAGCAAAAAAAGGAAGATTGGCAACAGATGTTAGCTCAGGGCGAATCTTCCTCAGCAAAAAAATAAAATAGAAGTTGTCTTGATAAATGCTGAAGGCATGGGAGAGCCTTTGAGGGTTGAATGTCCAGTTGACTGGTACTCTCTTTAACACACTCATTTAAAATTTATGCTTTTGTCTCCATTGTTCCAAGAAATAGCAGGTCAAAATCACCAGCAACCTCCACGTTCCTAAATCCAGTAGTCACCGCTCAGTCCAGCAGCATTTGACATAAAGATTACTCTCTCCTTGAAGCACTTCCTCACTTATATTTCAGGACACCAAGCCCTCCTGGTTTTCCTCTTGCCTTACTGGCCATTCTTTCAAGTCTCTTTTGCTGGATCTGCGTCCTATTGCTGACATCTAAATGTTGGACAGTTTTAGGCCTTCTATTTTTACATTCAACTTCCCAGGTGATCTCATCTGGCTCTATAGCTTTATTACCTTCTATACTCTGGCCAATTTATATCCTCATACCTAGCCTCTTTCTTCATCTCCACACTTCTATATCCACCTGCTTAACTGACATCTTCATTTGGCTGTCTAGGAGGTATCTCAAAATTAACATGTCCAGAACAGAAATCTTGATAACCTTCTCCTCACAAACATGCTCCCTTTAGTCTTTCCCATCTCAACAAATGTTATCATTTCCCCAATTGCCCAGGCCCAACACAAGCATCCTCCTTGATTCCTCTCTTTCCTTCAAACTCCATAACCAATCCCTTAGCAAGCCCTAATTTAAAAAGCAATACCCATTTTACATTACCTCTGTTCCCACCACCCTATCCATGCTGCCATCATCTCTTGCCAATATAATAGCCTTCTAACTGGTCTTCCTGCCTCCTCACTTGCTTTCCTACAGACCATAATCCTTAAAAGTAGCCTGAAGGAGCTTTTTAAATTTTAAATCAGATCATGTCCATAGACTCACAACTTTCTGGAGGCTTCCCATCACACTTAGAATAAAATCTGCTCTCCTTATTATGGCTTAAAAGGTTCTTCATGATCTGGCTCCCACTTCTCTCTCTAACCTCATCTCCACTACTCTCCTGCTCATTCACTTCTCTCCAGGCATGCTGGCCGTCTTGCTGTTCCTTGAACCTGGCAGGCTTGCTCTTGCTTCCGAGTCTTTGCACTTGCGGTTCCCTCTGCCTAGAACACTCTTCTCTCAGATCTTCCCAGGACTCACCCTTCATATCCTTCAGGTCTCTATTAAACATCATCCACTCAGTCAGGGAAACTTCCCTGACCACTCTAAAACATTCAGCTCCCCCAACTAGTCCTCCTACTACAGCCTGCTTTATCTTTCTTCATAGCACTTATACTACCTGAAATTATATTATTTACTTAAAAAAAAGAACATTTAATGCCTGCTTCCCCACAAAAATGTAGGTTTCACGAGAGCAGGAGCTTCTGTCTGTCTTCAATACTCAGCCCCAGTGTCTGGGACACAGAGGTCCTCAATATATGTTAGTTGAATGAATGAATAACTGAGTTGTTTAAAATTTGGAATCTATTTTCCCATAGAACAATAATTAAATGTTCTTAGGCTAGACCCCCAAGAAACCTACTGGATATATAACTAAACTTTAGGATTAATACTAGCCTGGTGCTGGCTCCTAGAAACACTGGGATCATGTCACAACAAAGGAAGGTAAACGTCAGACTCCTCCTCCTTCCTGAATGTACTTGGGTAAAATTTAGAAATAGGAGTATCTCCTTTCAGTTTTTCCTCCCAGGGCTCCTCTGTTGCCCTAAGTCTCCCCTTAGATCCCCAAAATTGCCTCAAAACTCCACAGTTTCCAGCCCCTCCCCCTAATTCCCTCCCCAGCAAATCTTCCCTTTCTTCAATTTATTATCTCAACTGGGATGTGATGGAGAGATATTTGAACTATTATAATTTACAGCAATGGATGAATAAATCATTCAACCCTCTCAGGCATCTTTACTTATTTAAAATAGAATGTGTACTAAATTAATCTCTAATTGGTAGAATTTGGGGCATTAGTACAATGATGTAGAAAAAATACAGAGTGGACAGAAGATATATTTGGGCTGGGAAAATAACCATCAATAATGTTTTGCACACAGTAGGCATCAATAATTATTTGTTAAAAGAGTGATTAGGTGAATGTAATCATGCTGAGGCAATCTCCTGTGGGCCCTTGGGTCAGCTCCCCTAAATGTTTTTTCTCCTTTGAGGTAAAAGTTGTTTTAAAAGTTCTCACAATGGCTCACTCAACATCAGAAAGAGGTGGCACAAAAAAGGTAGTGCTGAAGGGGGAAAGGGCAGAAAAAGAAAATATTGTATTTTCATAGGTTGTATTTCATATTAAAACAAGTTTTGGGTGTCTTTTTTTTTTAAGAACAATTTGGATTCTTCACCGACAGAATAGGCCAGATGTAATTTAAGATGGAAAACAAGAATGTATTTTGGGGAAGAACTATCTATTATTCAAAGCCTGTGGATTTAAAGTTCTCATTATAATTTATAGTTTTCTAAAAGGCTGCCAGCTGGGGAAAAAAAAAAAAGACTTTCCAGGTGAAGATACAAAAGGAAGGTGGAAGGCAGGGTACCGCCTCAACCTTACTCAGCAGAATCACATGGCGCCCGGGTTAAACCATATACTCTGGGCCTTAACACACAGAGCTGCCTGCGTGGGACACAGCTGTAGTTTTAACAAGGGCCGGAAGTGATTCCTGTAACAGCGGGCCTGCAGACAGTTGTAAAGGTTGCGAGATCCGGGCCAGAAAGCAAGGAGACTTGACTTAAAGCCCCAACATCAAGGATAAAGCAAGAGAACAGATTCCAGACATAATTACAAAATAGACTTAACAGGACCTAGTGATTTATTGTCTGTGAAAGATGAGGAAGAATCTAAGGGCAACGAGGATAACAGTTGTGCCATTAGAAAGGGAATATTAAGAATTCAGAAATCAGGATTTTAAGATGGAGGTTGAGAGGTAAGAGGTGGTCCTGTCACAATAATGAAGTCAACTTCGGTTCAATTGAGTCTGAGGTGCTTATGGGACATTTGGAAGAGATGTCCAGAGATGTCCAGAAGGCATTCACAAAAATGATGTCCAGGAAATAGAGACACCGTTAAGGGAATCATTGGTATCTTAGCGATCGTGGAGAAGAGAATGAATATATCAAGGGGGGGGGGGACGCCAAAAATTACTCGTTTGGATTTTGCCAAGTACAGATTTTCGGGGCCCCTTGGCGAGAACTGCATCAAATGGGTGTCGGGGACAGAAGAGACTGAAGTGGACCAGCAGACCCCACTCTGACCCAAGCCTGAGCAAACGTCTAATTGAGAGAAGCCGGTCTACACTTCCACCCCACAGCTCCGCGGTGCAGAAGTCTACCCAGCTGATGTCTTAACTCCAGAACGCGTATGGAGAATACAGCCTAAGGACCCAAAGGTTCGAATCCCCACTCAGTCCCAGCGAAGGAGGCGGCGAGGCTGACCAAGACGCGCGTTCAGGCCCGGGGACTCCTCGTCCACGGACTCCGCGAATCTTTCTGACCTCCCTGGGCCCTCAGCAGCCAATTCCACTCACTTCTCGGAGGGTCCGGCCCAGCATGGTCCTCGTGCCCAGCCTGCCACCACAGAGGCCAGGTGACAAGGAGGAAAAAGAAAGGTCAACAGCCGCTGCCTGTACTACACGGGCGCAGCCATCTTTGATCGTCACGGAACCTTTCAGCACCGAGTACTTAGATTGGTCGAATTGCAGCCCGAGGAAATGATCTTTGCACGCGATTGGTTGGAGCCGCAAAGCGCGTCCCGCGGGTCAAGAGAGCGGGTGGCAAGGAGACTCCGGGCTAGGGTCGCGGCGGGAATGTGGAAGCGTTTGGTCCTCCGTGGCGTCCGGATCGCGAGTGGAGTCGACTTGTCCCGCTGACTGCTCCCGGGACAGGGCAGGGTTCTAGGGGTTTTGTTTTTGTTTTCGCTTTTAGAGGGAGGGGGTGGAAGGGAGGAGGAGAATGCACAGAATACTGACTGGGAAGTTAATTGGAGCATTTCAGATGCGAATAGCGGAATAATTCCGTATTCTTCATTCAGTTGCTCCATTAGGCTAACTTCATTTCTGAATTCTCAGTTTTGAAATCGGCCACTGTATTTGGCAGAATTTGGCCGAATTCAGGGGTGAGAGTTTGATCCAAGCTGAGTGCATTTTAATTAGGGCTCTCAATTCAACCACTGTTTACAATGGAATTTCTGAAGATCTGTATACTTAGAAGAAATGCATATACTGCGGTTTGCTTCTGGAGAAGCCAAGTTGTACAAAAACCGTTAATTAGAAGGATTAGTACTACCTCTCGAAGGAACTCTGTCATGCCGGCTTGGGTCATAGATAAATATGGGAATAATGAAGTGCTTCGATTTACTCAGAACATGATGATACCTATAATACACTATCCAAATGAAGTCATTATCAAAGTTCACGCTGCGAGTGTAAATCCTATAGATGTTAATATGAGAAGTAAGTTTTCAAGACATACCTCATTACCACCCCCCCCACCCCCCCACCCCGGTTTCTAAGATATTTTCATCAGGGATCAGTTTTAAAAGATCAGTTGTTATTTGACTATAGTTCTCTGGTTAACACAAAGGAATTGTTTAGGTTTTTGACAGTATCTTAGCAGATGTTATTTGAATTTTTTGAAATTGTAATGTCCATGGTATACTTTAATCTTGTGCAAAATATAAGTTTGAGTTGCTTCCATGCTTCCTTAAAATGTAAATTGGGACTTGAGAGTTTTGTACCCAGCTAACTTTCTAGTATACTCTCCTGGGAACTTTGTGATATTCTGAGGTCCATCACAGGTGTTAGAGGTGGGTATGGTTATGTTTTCACATCAGTTCAGAATTTGCATTTTTATAATAATTCTTTGCTCTCCCACTACTCACAGCTTTCTTTATTGGTCCAGTAGACTAAGCAGCAGAACAGGATGCTGGGATATGGACACAGTGCTTTCCTCATTTCTACTGTTGCTTTCTGCCCTGGGCAGTTAAAATACACTTTCCTGTTATGTTCCATCCTAGATGAGAATAATGTTATCATCTTAATTTCTGCTGGGGGATTTTGACAAAACTTGGAGAGCACAGTATTCCTTGAATACTATATGCTATGTAATCGTTATAGTCCTGAAAAGATTGATTACTACTTGTGAATTATCTTAACTTTGGAAAAGAGCACCAAAAATATTGCTTATGGGAACTTATCCATGTCTTTTGAAAAAAATCAAAAAACATCTTTTGGGATGATTGGTCAATTAACCTCAGTCTTCTGAGTAAGCTACCATATGCGTTTAATTTAACCATGGGTCTGTGTTTTGAAGGCCTTGTGTGTAAACCTACATCTCTACTTCATCAGATTGCCTCCATAATAATCATCATATGTGAACTATGCATGATGAATTAAATTGCTCTGTTCGTATACATATCCAATTACAAAATTAAGATTAATGATAGAACAAATCATTTTGTGGAATTTATAGAGAAGTATGAAAGTGTTGAAATTTTGACTTCATTTCTTCCTCTTTTTTTGCAGTTGTGTTATAGATTAGGATAGCAATTCTCAAATTTTTTGGTCTTAAGATCTTTTTATACTCTTAATAGTTATTGGGCTTTTGTTTATGTGAGTTATAGTTATCAATATTTACCTTATTAGAAATTAGAATAGAAATTTTAGAATATTTATTAATTCCTGTAAAGATACAGTAAACTCCTTTTGTGTTAACATTACAAAGTTCAATCAGGATAAAAATATAAAATGATGTAAAAATAATAACTGAGAGACAGCTACATTTGTGAAGCACTGAAATAGGTAATAGTTGATAGAGCATAGGGTCTACTTTCAGAGTGCTTACAGTGAAAAATAACTATTTTCCAAAAGAAGCAAAAAAAAAATTAGAAGAGTAGCATTGTTTTACACTTTTGTGTATCTCTTTGTTTTCTGGTTTAATAAGACAGCTGGATTTTCTTATGTATTTCTTTTTTCCTTTTTTTTCCCTACCCAAAGCCCCAGTGCATGGTTGTATATCCTAGTTGTAAGTCCTTCTAGTTCTTTTATGTGAGCTGCCGCCACAGCATGGTAACTGACAGATGGGTGGTATGGTTCCACAAGCGGGAAGTGAACCCCGGCTGCCAAAGCGGTGAGAGTGCCGAACTTGAACCACTAGACTCTCAAGGCTGGCTCATCGTATGTATTTCTGTATTCAGTCTGTTGCAATGTGTTATTGAAGGAAATGAAGAAAAGCCAGCCTCGCGTAGTTAGTTAGAAAATAAAGGACCTCTTAGACTCTTCAAAAAGATCTTGGGGATGTAAAAACTTGGAGAACTGCTGGATTAGGGAAATAAAGTCTAGTTTTGCTGTCTTTAGGTCTTTTATCTCCAATTTTTAATGCTGCTATTTTTAGTGAATATATCTAGGCCTGTGCTGCCCAGTGTAGTAGCCACTAGGCACATGTGGCTGCTGAGCAATAGAAATGTGACTAGTCTGAACTGAGATGTGCAGTTAGTGTAAAATACATCCTGGATTTCAAAGTCTTAGTAAGAAAAAAAGAATGTAAAGTGTCTGAATAATTATATATTGATTACATACTGACTTGCTAACATTTTGGATATATTAAGTAAAATATTAATATTAATTTTACTTGTTTCTTTTTACTTTTTTAGTGGCTACTGTAAAATTTTAAATTACATATGTGGCTTGCATAATATTTCTATTGGACAATGCCGATCTAGACAATGTGAGGAATAACTATTACACATTTCTTTGTGGGAAGGGGTTTGGGGAAAGACTTTGACTGTTAAAGTGTCTATAGCTAGAAAGCTCTATTAAGAATGGATTGAAATGACTTTATTATGATTGCCTCACGAAATCCACATGTGTATTCTTTTTGTTTGCTTTGAAGTAATAATTGCTACTACTAGTTGGGCATGTTGTTTTACTTTATTCCATTTACACGGGGCATGAAGACAATTTAGTTTTTATAGGATATGTCTTGAAGTGGTGGGTTTATACCCGGTGATCAGTATATCTTTTCATCTCCTTTGATTATAAGCCCTTTGAAGGTAGATGCCATGCTCTGTCAACTACTACCTATTTCAGTGCTTCACATAAGTAGTTGTCAATCAGTCATTATTTTTGTCATTTTATATTTTCATTCTAACTTAAGATTAAAAACTAAAATTAGCGGTATTTTATCCATGAATAATTTTTACATTTTGTCTTCATTTAGATCTGTTAACATTTCATTTCTTTGAATGCACATGCACAGTTTGTATTGTGTACATTTTAATTTTAGTTGAATGGCTAGATCTGGACTTTCTTGGCTGCTGTTTGATAATATAATATTGTAACATGTTTTACTTTTATATAGTATTCTTGAGACATCTTAGTTTTTTATGACTTGACTGGGTAATATTATTTGCAAATTGTCCTCTTTATTTCCTGCTCATGGATTCTTTTTTGAGAAAGTGTGGTTGTTGTTGCAGAAGATAGCTGAAATGGTAGCTTGGGGAAATAAAATAATGTATAGAAGATTCTAAACTGTAGAAGCAGTTATTTCTCTTGACAAGAAAGGAAGGACATGTCTACTTTATTTTGAAAGATGAAGGCAGGCTGTTTTTCTGGGGATGGCCACTGTTGTTGGACATAAAATCATAAATCGTATAAATGGCTAAAGAAATGAATAACCTTAAGGTAGAAAAAAAAATACAGCCAATGGCATCATGCCAACAAAGCTAGGTTTCTTGAGATAGGCTTCAAGTCTTTGATGATAGATTTAGGATTTTCCAAATCATTCCAACTCTCTGAACCAGTCAAACTGGCCACCTCTAACAATGGGATGAAGCTGCTAAGGGTTTCCATTCATTTGTGTCACCAAGTAGATTCTCAGTTACTAACTACCAGCTGCATTCTGGATCTGGGGCTGGTTTAGCTAGTACCAGTGAGCCAGGGCTACTCGGTTGATGTATTAGCATATCAAGGTGACCAAGAAAATTGTTTAAACAGCCTTGCCCTGCAGGCTGTGTACCTCAGAGAGTCCTAAGGCCTTTTTGCAGCTCTCAAAGAGCAGCTGAAACTTGACATGGCTTAATGCCCACTTCTTTTGCTCAAACCACATAGGAATTTCAATGAATAATTATTTCATTGCGTTTTAGTGGTGGAAAAGGAATGTAAGACAGGAAAAGTACAACATATGACTTTTGTGAGTGTTACATGTGAAGTTCTTTTTCCTCTGATAAGGTGTGCTCTAACCAGCAAGATGGCAAATGTGTAATATTGGCATGGTGGTCATCAGCTTAGATTTTCTGGGACTATCTTAATTTCAAACACTTTCTCCCATGTGTCTTGATTTTTTATTAGAAAAACAACTTCTGCAAGCTACCCACCTGTCAGCATCTCTCCCTGTTTCCTCTACCTTCCCTCCTGCTATATGGATTGACTGTCATAGCTCCCATCTAAGGCCAACCCTCCACTTGAGTTCTAGATTCCATCACCTCGCACCTACTTAGGAGCATTGTTTCAGCAATTCTTTCCTGCATCTTCAGTCTTCTCCTTTCTGCTGGATCATTCCCATTAGCTTACACACTTGCCCTTATTTCTCCCCTCTTGAAGAGGGGAAAAACACTCAAAAATCCCCTCTCCATCTCAGTTGCTCCCCTCCAGCCACTGTGCCATTTCTCTCCTCCCCTTTATAGCAAAACTATTTGAAAGAGTTGAATGTTTTCACTTCCCATTCTCTCTGTCACCCCATGCCACAGTGAGTGTTCCTGTCAAGGTCACCAAAGACCTCCATGTTGTTGGGTCCAGTCTTTTGTTTTGGGTTTGTTTTTGTTTTGTTTTGTTTTAAAAGACTATTGGCAGCTTTTGACCTTATTTGAAAAACTGTCTTCCCTGTCAACAGCATTTGATTTCTTTAAACAACCCTCTTCACTTGACTTTCTGGACACCTCTTCACTGGCCAAGCCTTCTCAGGCTCCTCTGCTGGTTTCTCCTCATCCTTAAGATCTAATGTTGTACTGTGCTTAAGAGTAGGTGGGGGCAAAGAGGAGACTTACAGAGTGGTTTAGAGATTCTGAAGCATAAATTGTGCTACATGACACTGGAAAGGTAAGCAGGGTGCTTATCTTGAAGAGCCTGACATAGCAGAAATGTTCTCCTCAGAAAGATGTCAAGCAGAAGAGACCATAACAGATACTTTTGTGTCTTAGAAAATCCATTTTATATGTTGAAGCTGTGTAATAAACTGTTTTGGATTATTGTGGATACAGTAGCCAATTTATTTGAACCAGAATATTATGATCAGAAGAATATTTTCAGCTCCACTTAGCTGATATTTCTGTAAATATTCTTTAAAATAAAAGGATAGGTTAAGTCAGGTTAATTGCTTTGTTATACAGATTGGAACAGATGCAGCCAAGTGGTTCTTTTCCACTCAAGAATCTGTGCACTTAATCCAAAGATGTTCTAGAAACATTTTTTGGGAAGTGGGGACCATTTCTCATAGACCAGTGTCAATGTCAAACACCAGATCCATCCCTTATTTATTTGTTTATTAATTTCAGACAGCTTTAATGTTTATCTTCACCAGACTTGGCAGCAAACAACTTTGTTGTATAAAAAGTTCATGAGTGAATAAATTAATAAAGAAACCATCTTCAAAGAACAAAGTGGAACTGTATTAAAAAACATACTAAAAGTCCTGGAGACAGGTTCAAAATTGGAATTTCAAAAACATTTTGAACACTAGTAGCTTTAGTTTAACAAGTGATTATAACTTTCTGAGTAATTTTCTTGGAAAGAAACAACACACTGTTTTTATGCTTTCCTGTGTAATGGTAAAAATTTATAAGGTTGATTACTTTATAATCTATGTCTTAAGGACCTAGTATTGTACCTGACCTATAACGCTATAGTAGTTTTTAAATCATCCCATTCTTTTGGAGGAAACAGGTAACGTGTATTTTATAGGTGGCTATGGAGCTACGGCTTTAAATATGAAACGTGATCCTTTACATATTAAAATCAAAGGAGAAGAGTTTCCCCTGACTCTGGGTCGGGATGTCTCTGGTGTGGTGATGGAATGTGGACTTGATGTGAAGTACTTCAAGCCTGGAGATGAGGTGAGTTATGGACTGCCTCTATTCCTTTTCTGAATATGCAAATTTCATTCTTTTGGAAATATATTCCATATCGATTCCAAGATACCTATTTTCTTCTTTTCAACAAATATACTGAGCTTTGGCTGGAATCCTCATTTTCTTGGTTCTGTTGTTCTTGGTTCTGTTTCTTGGTTTTGTCAAAATAGCATGACTGTACTTGAGCTTTAAAATCTAGTGCTTAAGAATTGCGAGACTTTAAAATATGTGTGATCAGGACTTTTTAATTTTTCCTTGAAAGAGTCTTTAAATGACAATTTCTACCTTATGGGTTAGATGGTTTTAAAATAGCTAAAGTTTGGTATAATCACCTGTCACTTGTCACTTTGAACTTTTATACCAAAAAATTAAAGTGAGCCTATAATAATAGCTAACACTGTTCTAGTTGCTTTTCGTAAGATAACTCATTTAATCCCTAAGAAGTAAGTGAAGTTAGGTTCAGTTTACAGATGAGGAAGCCAGGCTATAAGGAGGTCCCGCAGCTGATAAGTGGTAGAGCCAGGATTCAAGCCCCAAGGGACTGTGCTCTTTCTGGTACTCTAAGCAGTCAGTAAATACAGCAGGATTCACTGGCATCTGCTTCCATTGTGGTTTGACTTGATAAATCCAGAATCATACTAAGTAGTACGTTTATATCACATGAAAATAACTCTTTTGCTTGGTGTATTGCTGACTCGTGCTTTTTTCACAGAGAAAGAGGTGTGTATTGGGGAACACCCTCATGTTTGGCTTTGGTTAAAAATGATCTGTTTGTAATGAAACTGTGTGTGTGTGTTTCAGGTCTGGGCTGCAGTTCCTCCCTGGAAACAAGGCACTCTCTCCGAGTTTGTTGTAGTCAGCGGGAATGAGGTAAGTTACCAGTTCTGTGCTGAAATGCCATCAGAAAGTATAAACAAAGACTGGCAAATCTCTCTTCAATAATTGGTTGTTTTTCAGATAGGGTTCATGTTTTATGGGTAATTTTGAAAGAGCTAAGATAGAGAATAGGAATTTTTGAAAGATTAAAAAAGTATTTGCTGTCATTTGATAACTCTGCCTGCCAAAGCGTTTATCTTTGTCTTGTGGAGCGGGGATTTGGGGTGAGATCTGGAAACCCTGATGTGTTTCTTGGTTTTACCCAGTATGAATAGTTGGAACCAAATACACCAAATGGATTGTACTGATTAATTGTAAACAGAAGCATGAAGTATGAAGCTGTTTCAAATAACTTTAAAAACAGGAGTCTAATTAAATACAGTCAGGAGGCCTGACAATTTGAATAGAGAGGAAGGGGTTAACATTGAGGAAATTGGCTACAGAAGGAGGGCAGGAAGGGAAAAAAGGGTTTTACTGAGATTAGAAAAAGTCTGGAAAGATTGCCTTCCAGTAAATGGGAGTAAAGGAAACAGCTGATCTCAAAAACAAATTAGAATGTGTTTATGAGGGCTCAAGGTTTGTTTGGATTTATTTCTGGGTATAGTCAGGACTAATGGAATTATTGAATGTGGTCTTTTTATGAGGAATTAAGGGCTATATCTGATAATGTGGCCTATAAAGCATTACTGAACCTCTGTGAGGCAGGTTGAGTCATTTGGAGAATATCCCTTTGGGATAATCTTGGAGTAAGGTATGCAGTAAGCACTGAAACTAGCAGATTGTTATAGACTGAAAATAGGTGGATTCCTATGTAGGTAAATGTACTTAATTGTGTTCATAGGTTTGCAAGTCATTGCTTATTTTTGACTGTTGTCTTTAAATCTAGGTCTCTCACAAGCCCAAATCACTCACTCATACTCAAGCTGCCTCTTTGCCGTATGTGGCTCTCACAGCCTGGTCTGCCATAAATAAGGTCGGCGGCCTGAATGACAAGAATTGCACAGGAAGACGGTAAGTATCATTGGTGGCATCTAAAACACCCTTCTTTCCTTCCATAAGGTCTTTGTAGATTTGTCAGAAGCATTAAAACTAGGATCATTTATATGAGCAGAGTTGTGCTGACGTTTAAAACAATTTCCAAAGAACTTTCATGTCAGTGTGCACTTTCTTAATCTCATTCTGTTGATTCTTAGCCCAATCAAATGGGAATTTTAAAATTGAAATGTGTAGATGGACTTTAGGAGTCTGAACCTTCTAAAATAATGCAGAATTTTGTGTGTGAATCTCTGGGAAATAGATCCATAGCTTTTATCAGATTCCTGAAAAGGTTAAGAATCACCCCGTACAGTTTCTAGAGAATGATGTCAAAGGGCAGGTGTGCTTTTCCTTCCTCCACTAGGAGTTGCTCTCATACTTTCAGATTTCTATGAAAACCAGATATAAAGGGACTGCAAAACACTGTTGAATATTTTTTTTTTTTTTTTTGTGAGGAGGCCCAGCCCTGAGCTAACAACCAATGCCAATCCTCCTCTTTTTCGCTTAGGAAGACTGTCCCTGGGCTAACATCCATGCCCATCTTCCTCTACTCTATATGGGACACCGCCACAGCATGGCTTAACAAGCGGTGCGTCGGTGCGTGCCTGGGATCCAAACTGGCAAACCCCGGGCTGTGGCAGCAGAGCGCACGGACTTAACTGCTTGCACCACCGGGCCGGCCCCACAATGTTGAATATTCTTGAGTTGTCTTAGGCTCAGTGCTTGATATCCTTTGGATCAATTCTGGTCCTTCAAGGCCTCAAATGTATGTTTGTTTGAGTCTGCAACAACACAATGCGTAAAAATGTCTTAGATGTACTTGAGCTCATATCCAGATTCTGCTGCTTTCTAGTTGGGTGGCCCACTCAGTCACTTCTCTATTGTGAGTTTTGTTTTAAGCGTTAAATGAGGTAACACACATAAAACTAGTGGCACTGATTGTGGCACATGCATGGCACTCAGTAAATGGTGGCTACTATTACTGGCCATGCATGAGATTATATTCTTTATATTTTAGCAAGTTGGCATCATAGAGAAAACGGATGATTTTATATTTTGGTGAGAAAGCTGGGTACTAAGAACCATTTAATGGTTGTGATGAAGGAGAGAGCTATAGGTCAAATTTTAATAAATTAAAATAACTTAGTTTTTTGATTGCTAAGGATTCGGCAGGTAAAATAAAGCCTGTGTCATTTTATACTCCTATTGTTAATGAAACATTGTACTTTACATTTAATGTGTTGGATTATAGAATCGAATTTAATGAAAGCTTAATAGCTGTATTTCTGAAAGCATTGTGAAGGCTGCTCATCTAATGAAGTGCTACCCTTTATCGTAAAATTCAAGGCAAATATTTATTCTAAAGGTCAACCCTGTTTATTTTTTAAGCTTTTGGGGCTTCTCTTTCTTGAAGATGCCATTTTGGTCAAACACTTTGTTTAAATTAAATTAGTTCGACTACATAGATTTTTATAACGGTTCGTTTTAGTTAATAACCTTGCAAAAATCTTATTCAAGATTTTTAGACATTTATTATTGTAGGCTCTGCAATGACATTGATCTTTGTTTTGTTTTTCTGTGAAGACATTAGACTCTCTATGCCTGCATGACCGTATTGCACTGTGGTTAGAGAGCTCTCATTCCTTTTGCCAGTTCTGGGCTCTCCAGGCCTTTTTTTTTTAGGATTGTGTAGAAAACAATTTAGAAGCAGATTTAGCTGTCTCTTCTCAGTACACAGGGGTGTGCCCCGGTTAATTGTTGGCTGCGTGGGTAATTCTTTGGTACTGTGTAATCTTCTGTTGAAGCAATAATGGCTTGGAACTGGGAAAGAAGAGCCCTGGTCTTACTCTCTACTCTGCTATGAACTAATGAGGTGACCACATGCATGCTATTTATGGTCTCTTTGCAGTTTCCTCTGAGGTTCTGAGTGTAGGACAGTGTGGGTTGTTAGGAGACCTTTGAGAAATGGAAAGTTTGATACCTTATAAAGGTGATTTATATATTTTATTGAGTTGGATCTGTTCGTTGATTCAGCCACATGTTACCCACACTGGAATGCAGTCCATTGTAAGGAGCCTCACCAGCTCACATCATGGGCTTCTGCCACGTTCCCCAGTGCGTGGTGACCTGTAGGATTCCTTTGTTCTGAGTGGCAGTGAGAACTTGGCTCCTGGTGCTCTGGGAAATCTCATTTTACTGAAATGACTGCACTTGGGTGTAATAATGGCCTAACTCTCCAACTACTTATTGTGAGAATCACAGGAGAGATATGAGCACCTTAAAATACTGTAAAAAGACTTTCACATGAGGAAATTACCATTATGGTGGGATTTTATATACATAAACTCAGAGGTTCCAGGGTCCAAAGTGGCTTTTTTCAGTTTGACTGTTTATTGTGATTGGTGGAGCATATTTTGGCTTCTCTAAGCAATAATTATTCTTTTTCTGTTAGCCGTTGGCATTAAGGCACTCTTTAGTCTGCACGAAGCAAGTCAGCGTTTGTTATCAAGGACTAACAGTCTGTTTTTCTAACCAGTTAATTAAAAAAAAACAAAACTAACAATGACAAAAACACCCATCAGCACCTTGGAAGATTTTGCAGGATTTCTTTATAACAAATAACTTTTTGAAATTAAGACAAAGCTTTCTAAAGGTTTGGTGATGTTTGCTTTTTCCTTCTTTGTTATATAATTATATTTCTGCAACAACTGAGCATTAGTGAACCAAGGGGATACTTTAATATTGATGTCATATAATGTCATTTTTGCCCACACTTCGGTATCACTAGAAAATGTCACATGAAATCATTTTCTTGTCATCAGCTGATCCATAGTTTCTTCATGATTTATTCAGTAGGAACACATAGATAACCTAGGGCTCTCAAGATGAATAGAAATTTTTTAAAAAGTGATTACACCAGATTTTTTAAAGAACAGTTCAATCTGATGGTTATATTTATTGGTAGTGTCATGGTGCAACTCGAATGTTTCATGCTTTGCCTGAAATTCATCTCTTGCTGGGAAAGTTGTACTTCCCTCTGTTTGACAGAAGTATTAGAAAGTGTTAGAAGTTGAACCATTCCTCCTCCACAAAATAAATTTCACTTTTAAATTGTGTATACTTGAAACTCAATGCGATGAATTTAGAAATGCTTTTCACTGTTTCTTTTTTGAGATTAGGCTTTATGACAGTAAAATTTTGTCATGTAAATGGAAATTAGGTGTCTGATTAATTCTGTTTATAGAATTAGATGGGCTCAAACTTACAAACGGTGGATTCCGCTTCTCCCCCCCACTATGCTTATATCAGTAATTATAATAGCTTCCTTCTTTCAGATTCCTTCACCTGCCTGTTCTTCACCCCACCACCCATGAGTTTCTCCCCTCTCTCCACTTCCACTGCCCCTGTGGACTTTGGGTTTTCATTTGCAATTGACTAGGTGGTATGGTTAGAGGGGTGAGGGGAAGGAGAAAGAAACCCCTGCAGTGTACTTGCTTGAAGAAATCCTGGGGCTGGGAAGAAGAGGAGAGGGAGCGGGAGGCTCTAGCCTGGCCAGCCTGATGCAAATGAACCCTGCCTCTACTCCTGGGCCTGTTTTCCAAGGAGCTCCAGGAGGGCTCAGTTAAAGGACTTAGAGAAACTTTTCCCTGGCAATTTGTGTTTTACCAATTAGTTTTCTAGGTGACCAGGGTAACTGTCTTGTGAAGTTTAGAGGTTATTTACTCTTCAGTGCACTGTGATCTAGCTTCCAGCCTCGCCATTCAACTGCAGCTGTTCTCATGGAGTCATAGCTGACTGAGTTGCCAACCCAATGATACTTTTCAGTTCTTATGATTTGACATCTCTGAGGTATCTGGTACAGTTCACCACTTCCTTAATACTCACTTTTTCCATGGTTTCAGGGACACTAGATGCTTTAGATTTTTTGCCTTTTGGACCAGTTGTTGTCATTTTTAAAGGCTCCCCTTCTTCCTGCAGCCCTCTGTAACTGTTTTCCCAGTGTTCCACTCCATCATTCACTCTTCTCTGTCTCCCAGGGGTATCCCATCTACTCCCAGCTTCTATTTGTGTTTTGGTAACTTGCAGATCTCTGTTACTAACCCCAACCTCTCTACTGAGTTCCAGTTAGATGTCCCTTTTGTATCTGAAACTCAACTTGTGCAAAACAAGATTTACTGACTACCACCCTGACTCTTCCTCTATATTCTGAATGTCAGTTAACTCTGATTTACCTTAAGCCAAAACCTGGTATTTTCCCCAAACCCTGCTCCCTCCCCTTCCGCTGTACAACTTATTATTGTTCATATTATGTAAAATTTAGGATTATTGTCAAGTTTGGAAAAGTGTCTTCCAAGTTTCTTTAATACATGAACTGTAAGATTTCAAGGCATTTCAAGTTTTCTCATGCAGTGAATAAGCCTAAAATGCTTTTGCATTTTAGTTGGCAAGCCTCATTAACTAGTTTGTTGTTGATATCTTCCCTGTAGTGGTGTCAAATAACAAAAACAATACAATTTAGTAACCAGTTTGACGTCCTTTATTTAAGGGAAAACAGTCCATGGGTTGGGAGAGTGCAGTGCCTCACAAGCAGTGGAGCGCTCTCCCTGAGGGACTTAGGGCAAGAGCAAGTTTTGTAGGGCGTTAGAAAAGGCAACATGGAAACAGGACGCGATTGGCTAGGAGGTCAGTGATTTCCTTACAAGACTGGCAGGTCCTATTTTCCAGGGTAAGGTAAGCTACCTACAGCTTAGTTGGAGGATTGTGATTGGTGTTAGGTTTCCTTGACAAGGAGGCATTTCCAGTAAGTGCAGGCTGACTTAGGTTTATATTTGTAACGTGGGCCAGGCCGCTGGGACAGCCTCCATTTTGTGGGTCCTAATATACAAATTAAGTTTATCAGTGGTGTATTGTAAGTTTTTACATGTCTTTTAATTGGAAGAATTTTCTTTAGGCTAGCTTCTGGTTCTGTACATCTC